TGTCCCAACACCTACATTCTTATAGCTGCTTTAATTTTCCTTGTAGTATTGTTTTACCCCCCAAACATATTTATATATGTTTACTTTTTATTATATAGTCACCTCCACTGAGAATGAAAACAATGTGAAGAGAAATAAGACATATTTTTGCCTCAAGTTTTTTTTTGTATTGATATTAGCAAGGCTTTCAACACACAAGTTTTGAAGAAGTAAATTATGAAGGCAATCACACGTATAAAGCATATTGATAAGAATTAATATTTAAAAGGAAAATCAAAGCTCTATAATTAAGATGGTATTGTGGCATTAAGATCACTTGAAGAGAAACAGCAATTTTCCATGATAAGAAAATAATCATATTTTTATAGTCTAGCAAAAAATAATCTGAAAATGCAAGTAAAAAATAATTTCATCAATTACAAAATCAAAAAAGAAAACTCTACTTAGAAATATATTTAACAAAGTAAGTGCCAAACTTTCACTGTATTCTGAAAGCTACAAAGCAACCCTGAAAGAAATTAAAAGCCTAATTAAATATAAAATGTCCATTGCTCCTGAATAAGAAAATTTAATAAGATTAAAATGGCAATACTCCCCAAAGTGGTAAACAGACTCAGCATAATTCTACTGAGCTTTTAAGGAGAAAATCACAAGCTCATTCTATAATTCAAATTGAAATTCAAAGGACTCAAACAAAAAAATATATATCCTTTTTTTTTTCTTTTTTGATACTTGGGATTGAACCCAGAAGCACTTTACCACTGAGCCACATCCCCAGTCTTTTTCATTTTTATTTTGATATAGGGTCTCACTAACTTGTAGAAGCTGACTGTCTCAGCCTCCCAAAAGTTTCTGGGACTACAAGTATGCATCAGCTCACCTGGCTAATAAAAACAACCTTGAAATAGAGGAACAAGTTAAAGGACCCAACTTTCCATTTTCAAAACTTAGTACAAAACTATAGTGATCAAAGCAACTTGAGAACATAATTTATATAAATACAAAATGTCTCTAAATTGATTACACATAATTAGATGATATATAGGCAACAAATGGCTACTAAAAAACCATGGAATTGTACACTTTAAATGGGTGAGTTACATGGTATGTGGAACATATCTCAATAACACTACAAAAAAAAAACATGATGAAAACCCAAAAACTTTTGGGAAATAAATGCATAGCAACACCTAAGATGAATTAAGGAAAGTTCAGAATTAGCAAAACTATGATGGAAGTGAGTTAAGTTCTGACTTGCTTTGGGACATAAATTAATTAAACAATCAAAACACTACAGGGAATTTTAAGAAGACAGAGCTCAGCATGTCGGGAACATTTAAGGTAATGCCAGGATGGATGAAACTGAAACGGGCAGATCTAGGAGAACCCAAGTTTGAATCAGAATAGCCACACTGGATGCAGTGGCACACACTTGGTCGGGCTGTCCAGGAGGAGCGGGGAGGGACGCAGACCCTGATCGCAGGATGGAGGAAAGACCTTGTGCACGTGTGACAGCAGGGCAGCACAGAGAGTGGGCAAAGGGACCTGGCAATCCTTTCCAGAGCAGACTACCATTTTCTCTTCCCACCATCGGTGTGGGATTCGCTTTTTCCCACATCCTAGCATTTCCTATTAGATCTCAAAAGCTTGGCGCGATGGTGCACACCTATGATGCGACTCTGGAGGCTGAGGCAGGAGGATTCTAAGTTTGAGGCCAGCCTCAGTAATTAGTGAGACACGTTTCAATAATAAAAAGGGCTGGAGATATAGCTTTGTAATAACAACTCCCCTGGGTTCACTCTGCAGCACCACCTCTCCCCCTCCCCCCAAAAAA